AAGTCCAGGAAGACTATGTCCACTGGTACCCCTGCATCTAATGATTTGGTGATCTGATCATAGAAGGCCACCAGGTTGGTCTGACAGGACCTGCCACTAATGAACCCGTGTTGGTTGCCCCTAAGCATAATCTCCCCTGCTGGCCCCTCGTGGATATGTGCCAGGATAATTCTCTCAAAAAGCTTGCCCAGGATCAAGGTAAGACTAACTGGCCTGTAGTTTCCTGGGTCCTCCTTCTTCCCCTTTTTGAAGATGGGAACCACATTGGCCCTCTTCCAGTCCTCTGGCACCACACCAGAGCACCACGAGTGCTCGTAAAGCCATGCAAGGGGTCCTGCAATGACCTCAGCCAATTCCTTTAGTACTCTAGGGTGGAGATCGTCTGTACCGGCTGACTTGAATACATCCAGTCCCTCCAGTTAGGTGAGAGTTGCTTAACCCTCACCTAAACTCTGTTACGATTGGAAGCACCTAAATACCCACAGGAACCTAATCAATTTGCTGCTCAGAGCATGCCTAACTCACACCAGGAGCATTGAGGTTACTGCCATGTTTCTGTATATTATGCAATAATTGGCTAATGTAAAGCACATAAACTGTTCTGAAAACAGGGATTAACTCAAGTTGCTTCTGCTCAGAGGCAGGGGAGTAGGCCAGAGAGTGTGATTCCTTCATTCCTTTTTTGTCTTGGCCCCATATCTTTTCAGTTCTAGGCTGCCCAGTGGTGCAACTTCACCAAGAGGGATAAAGGATGTCTAACCCTAACCAGCTCATGGTGGTAAAGACTCTCTCACGGGAACTGAAACATGCGAGTTTCAATATCCTCTTTTCCTGAGTGAGTTCATTAAGTTCAAGGCTATGATGTAAAAGGTGGGTGGCAATGCCATCTCCACTGCCACCACGGCGCCTGGACCAGAAATTCTTGATTTCACATGAACATAGATGCCTGCTATGTAACAATGAGCATCAGGGCACCTCTGAAATTTCTAAAATGATCTTTGGAAGAGCCTAAGTCCTACTATTGGCTTTATAGGGATCCTAGGCACTTAAACCTGATCAAAACAAGTCACCCTCCTAGGACAAGGTACCTAAATATTAGGCATTCTAATGCTTAAGTGTAGGCCCCTACATGACCAAACTGGATTTGGCTCTATTATATGCTTTACTTGGATTAGGGGCTGAGATTTTTGTGTCTATAAACTGGCCTTTCTTATGTAAAACCTATTTCACAGCCAACACCTCTTCAAAATGAGTAGGAGTATGGAGATGTAAGAAAGGCTACATCAGGTCTAGACCTAATGCTTAATTAGCTAATCTCGATGTTGGTCTCAGAAAACACAAAGCACTTGATAAATGTAATAAATATTATTATTGTGTGCAGATGGAATGCAGGCCAAGTGAAAGTGACTCTCTACTTTGCATTTGTTAGTGTTACAAACTGAAGTACTTCACCACAAAACAGTGAAAAATACAGAAAAATCTCACACTGGGAAAACCCAGAGCACAAATTACAGCTGCCGAGTGGATATCAATTTCTTAAATGAGCTCATCCCAATTTCACAGCGAATATTGATCGTTTTCCTCTGAGTACCCCCATCTGGGTCATTTTGAAATGTCCAAGTCTACCACCAGAAGAAGAGCCAAGGAAATTAAATGTATCATTAATAGAAAAAGTGGCTAAAATAATCTTAATTTTCATTTTATTGAAAATTTTGTTAAACAACACACCAAACACAGCAAAGCAGAATAGTGGATTAACATTATGTTACATCTATATGCATGTGATACTGATGTATAGACAACTGGCTATACTGTTCCCAGTCATTCAAAAGACAACTAGCAGCATAGAATACCAAGTAATGTTCTGGAGCACAAAATATTATCATCACTGATCCTTTGCTGCACTTTAAATATACCAGGGTTGTCAGAGTTACTCAGGTTGATACGTAACTAGAGTTGAAGACCATATTTTTGCGTCAAGAGCAGTTTTGCAATTTCAAAATGCCTTCCGTTTGGGAACGAAAACAGAAATGCTTAAATTTCCCATGAAGCAATGTTTTGTTTTTTTTTTAATTACTTTTAAACTGAAGCATTTCATTTTTGGCAAAAACAGACTTCTTCATTGCTATTTCAGCTTCTGTATTTATATTACACTAGCACAATTTAAAAAATAAAACAGCAGTTGCTTCCAAATGGCAGATTAAAACGTTCTGTTCTAAAAAAAGAGACAATGGAACATTTAAAACCTCAGCGTACTGATCTGGACATCTCTGGTCTGGGCTTAGGGCTATAGGAGCAGTCTCTCTTCTGCGGGAACTTTTCCATTCTGAATGAATAATGAAGTATTTCATTGGGCTGGAGCAAGAGACTGAAGCCACAACCTAGATGCTAAAGCACTGAAACTAAGAAACCCAATTGAAATCTCTGCTCCAAATCCAGCACAGGAAGGGGTAGGTCTGAGTCACAGACATTGCAGGTGAGTGCCTTAATCACTGGGCTCTTGCCTATTTTGGAAAGGGTGGTTTTGCTCCTGTGTTCCCTTCCCACCCCTCCCCTCACCAAACCAGCTAGCCAACAAACAAGCAAGCATCAGTATATTTCTGTTCCAAAATGGAACAAAATACATTTGAAACAAACTTTTTGGTGAAACATAATTCTTGTTTGTCAGCCAGCCCTACTTCTGACAGTCTCAGAAAGCACTTTCCATGTCCTTGTTACTATTTACAGTGTTGTATAACCAAAAAAGACCAAACCCTTCACTTTTCACAGGTACTTCACCATTTTGGTGAAAACCAGGTTGTGATAGTTTGATCAGCTGTAGTCAGCTGGTATTTCACTGAGTGGGACTGGTGTGGAGGAATGTTCTTCAGCTAGCTGTGGTTGTATGCTTCAAACTGAGGATCAGGACCAAGTATTAAAATTCCTAACTGATCTAGGAGCCTCACACTCTTTGAGAAAGTGACTTCACTTCAGAACCTATGTCTCACTGAAAGCCAGTTTTAGGCTCCTGAATCACCTGGTCGTTTTTGAAAAATGTATCTGTTTGTCTTCTAGGGGAGAAGCGTAAAGTTTTATCTGCCACTAGCGAGTCCTTTCTATAGGCAAGGAACTAACTTCACATTGAATCTTTCATGAAGAACTTCATCAGTTCAGAAAACTACAAAGACGATAATGTTGGCAAATCAAAGAAATCCATTAGATGTCAAGGACTCGATCACACTGCTCAGCCAGTACCTCTGGCCTTTTTTCACTGGAAAATAAAGTTTCCCCACTTTAGAGCCAGCTAAGCAACAAGCTGGATGGTACTTCTTCCACCAGTCTCTTGAATGCCATGCTGCTTATCTTCCTTTCCATTTGGTGCTTCTGGAAAAAAACCTCCACAAACGTGTTCACCCTGATATAAAAACTGCTAGAAAATGAAAACATTTTGGAAAGGCTTTAAAAAAAATAAATGCATCTCCTCCCCCTCTCCCCCACCCCCTTGCAATCCAATCCGGGCACCAGGATGCTGAAAAGAAGAGAAGTTTTACCCAACAAATGTGTTGCCGGGGCTGGGGCTGATGTCAGAGCTCCTTCCTTGCAGGCTCAGCCCAGCACGGGATGAACGGTGGCTCTGCTAAGTCTATGTCACAGAATCTACTACGCCTTTGAATCTGTCAGAGAATCTGCTGAGATCCTGTCACAGATCCTGTGTCTTAGACTCTGCCAGGATGCTACGGCACAGATCCTACCTCTGAGAATCTGCTACCATTCTAGGTCATAGATCTGTTCGGACTGTACGTCGTAGATCCCATGGCTTGGAATCTGCCAGGGGGCTACGTCATAGATCCTACCCCTGAGAATGTGCTGAGATTCTACGTCATAGGTCTACGTCTTAGAAGGTGCTGGGATGCTACCGGGCGGGCCGCGATGGCCGGGTTTCTAGGAGGAGCGGGGCGGGGGCGGATGCGGACAAGCGCTGCCGCCGCCGAGGAGCCGGGCGTGGCGCGGCCACGTGCGCGGTGATTAATGCCGCTGCCCCCGCTCCGGGCCGAGGTGGAGCCGGCTGCGGTCAAGTTCCGGGGGGGCGGG